GAGGGGCCATGTGAATACTTACCAGCACCTCCTTAGAATATGGCCTGGGTTGAGTAAATGAACTCTTTCTTCCTCCTGTCAGAGGTGCGGGGGAGGGTGGGCGCGGGCCGCGTGCAGCGGAGGGCAGGCGGCAGGGCGGTGGCGCCGAGTCCTGGGGCGTAGCGAGCGGTTCCCGCTTCCCGCGCTGCGGATTCCGGGCTGCGGTCCCTGGGCTGCGGTTCTGCGGCGCCTGCCCCGCCGCCCTAGACTTTGATCCTGCGATCCGGGTGCACGTGGGGGCGGCTGGGTGACAGGTCGGCGCCCGGGAGGGGCGGGGAGTGCGGGCTGTGCGGGCCGGCGGGGGCGCGGCCGAGCGAGGAGCTGAGCTGGAGACTGGCTTGCTACCAGCCCGACCCCAGCCTCGGGAACAGTTTCCATCCAGCGGGTCACCCGCAGGGCCACCTCCTCGAGGGAACCGTGTGAAGTCAGGCCTGCCTGTCACCGACTCTGAGGTGTGGGGTGCAGACTTGGAGCAGGAGCCTGCTGCGTGACTTGGGCAGGTCACCTAATCTCGCTACACCTGTTTCTTCATCAATAGAGGGAAGGGTTGGGCAAGTGGAACTCTTCTGCTTCCTTCTAGCTAAAATTCCAAGGCTCTGTGATTTCACACTATTTATAGGCTACAAACCTCCGAACCCTTGTGTGGGCTGCTTAGAGGGGGAGGGGCGGCCAGAATACAAAAGAAAAGTGCCTGGGAGGCACCACGAACCAAACACCCTTGCTGAGTTGGACTAAGATTCCTTGGAGTTGGCCCTTTAAGTGAGACCAGTGGATGTGTGCACATCTCAGTGGTTAAAGGTCCCCCAGAGTGATGGCTAGAATCATCAGTGGCCTCAGCTGGGCCACCAAACCTGAGGAAGGACCCCTCGGTGCCAGCCATTGCATTGAGATATGCGTGGCCTGTGTTCTTTTGCATGAAAAATTCTACTTTGTGGCTTTTCAAGAGGAAACTGTGTTGCCCTGGCTGCCCCGGAACTCACTCTGTAGACCAGGCTGGCCTGGAACTCACAAGAGATCCGCCTGCCTCTGCCTCCCAAGTGCTGGGATTGAAGGTATGAGCAACCACTGTCCGGCAACAATTCTTATTTCAAGATTGCCTCTCATTTGTACATGATGTTCTCATCCCTGCACCCAGGCTGGAAAGTTGGGTGCATCCTCATCTTGGTCTCGCTGAATAGGAAAGCTTGGAGAAAGATTTCCAACATCGTAAGGGAAGAAATGGCAGAACTTGGTGATTGAGTGCATATCGGGAAGCAGAGCTACAGGGGAGAATTAATGCAGTTGTCTTTTGAAACCGGTAAGGGAAATGCTGCCATCAACGATATTTTATTGGATAAGGAGTGGGACCAGAACCTGTCTTCTAGGAGAAAACAGTTCCAATAGTGGTGTTTGGGTTGGTGGGTCTAGGACTCCAGTAATCACTCCCCCCACCCCATGCACACACACAAATGGGAAACACAGCTTCAAACTCTCTTCCAGCCTGCCTATATAGAAGTTTAAAATTGGAAGCCACTTATGGTCAAGGTATCCTTATGTATGTGGCTGGTCTGTTGGGGACCATTTTGCTTCCTACTGTGGCCTTTTTTTTTTTTTCTTCGAGACAGGGTTTCTCTGTGTAGCTTTGCGCCTTTCTTGGAACTCACTTGGTAGCCCACGCTGGCCTTGAACTCACAGAGATCCTACTGCCTCTGCCTCCGGAGTGCTGGGATTAAAGGTGTGCGCCCGGCACCTACTGAAGCCTTTTATTGAGATTCCTTTAAAGCAGTGGTTCTCAACCTCCCTAAAACTACCACCCTTTAATACAGTTTAACACAGTTCCTCATGTTGTGGTGACACCCCCAACCATAAAATGATTTTTGTTGCTACTTGGTAACTGTAATTATGCTACTGTTATGAATTGTAACATGTGTTTCCTGAAG